AAGCGTCTGAATAGTCCGCTCTGACTGGCCGTCTGTCTCCGGATGGTAGGCTGAACTGAACTCTAGCTTCGTGCCCATCGCCTCATGTAAATTGTGCCAGAATCTACTGACGAATCTGGGATCTCTGTCTGATACGATAGTAACGGGCACTCCGTGGAGTCGGATGATCCCACGGGTATATATCTCAGCCAACTTATCCAAAGACATCTTCATCGAAACGGGTAAGAAATGAGCGACCTTAGTCAGTCTGTCGACAACGACCCAAATAGCATCGTGATGTTCAGACGACTTCGGTAATCCCGTGACGAAATCCATCGTGACTTTTTCCCACTTCCACCTCGAAATCGGCAGTGGCTGCAGGAGGCCGATCGGACTCTGATGTTCGGCTTTGACTTGTTGACAGATAAAACATCTCCTGACGAACTCGGCGACGTCTTTCTTCATGCCTCGCCACCAGAACGACCCTTTCAAATCGTGATATATCTTCGTGCTCTCGGGATGGGCTAGATAGGATGCGGTATGAGCCTCTGATAAAATCTCCTTCCGTAACGACTCGACTTTCGGGACCACGATCCTGCCTCTGAACTCTAGGGCACCATCGGCACCTAGCTGAAAACCCTCGACGCCTCCGGCGCGAACCTTGGCACTCATGACACGTACGACTCGTCAGAAGCCTGTTCTCGCCGGATTCTCTCTCTCAGCGTCGGCTGAATCTGCATGGCCCTGACACTAGCACTGACACTCCCTGAAATGGCTGTGGGAAGTGCATCGATCGCCTGAAGCTGCATCCGGGTAAACTCCTGAATCAATGGACTCTGCTGAGTAACGACGTACGTCAAGTCACCCCTCACCTTTCGGCATAGGGCGTCAGTAACGACGTTCGCCTTTCCCGGATGATACTGAATAGAGCAATCGTAATCCTTGACGAGCTCTAACCAACGACGTTGTCTCATGTTGAGCTCCTTCTGAGTAAAGATATACTGCAAGCTCTTATGATCTGTGAAAATCTCACAATGACCGCCGTAAAGATAGTGTCGCCAAATCTTTAGGGCATGAACGACTGCTGCTAACTCCAAGTCGTGCGTCGGATAGTTCTGCTCATGCGGCTTAAGCTGACGTGAGGCATACGCAACGACCTGGCCATCCTGCATAAGGACGCATCCCAAGCCTTGTCTCGAAGCATCGCTGAAAATGGTGAAACTCCGAGAAGGATCGGGAATAGTCAACACCGGTGCTGAAGTTAATCTCCTCTTGAGCTCCTGAAAGCTCGACTCACATCAGTCAGTCCACTCGAACCTCACAGATTTCCTCGTCAGCTGGGATAGAGGGAGGGCAATCTTGGAAAAGCCCTCGATAAACCTGCGATAATATCCAGCTAGACCAAGAAAACTGCGAACCTCGGACGGAATCCTCGGTGTCGACAAGTTCTGAACAACTGAGACCTTGGAAGGATCCACCTCGATACCTGCCTGAGTAATAACATGACCCAGAAAGGCTACTCGCTGGAGCCAGAACTCGCATTTGGAGAATTTTGCAAACAACTTTTCTCGTCTGAGGGTTTCGAGAACCACCCTCATATGCTCTTCGTGCTCCTTCTGGCTCTTCGAGTAGATAAGAATATCGTCAATAAAGACAATAACGAACTGATCGAGGTAAGGATGGAAAATACGGTTCATCAGGTCCATAAAAACTGCTGGAGCATTACTGAGACTGAATGGCATGACGACGAACTCGTAATGGCCGTAACGAGTCCTGAAACCGGTCTTAGCGATATCTGACTCCTTAATCTTCAGCTGGTGGTAGCCTGATCATAAATCAATCTTTGAGAACACACAGGCTCCCCTCAGCTGATCAAATAAGTCGTCGATCCTGGGAAGCGGATACTTGTTCTTGATCGTCAACCGGTTAAGATCCCGGTAGTCGATACACATGCGCATGGATCCGTCCTTCTTCTTAACAAAGAGAACGGGTGCTCCCCAAGGTGACACTCTCGGTCGAATGAAACCGAGTCATAACAGCTGCTGAATCTGAGTCTTAAGCTCCTGCAACTCCTTCGGCGCCATACGGTATGGGGCTTTGCATACTGGACCGGCTCCTGGAATAAGATCGATAGAGAACTCCACCTGCCGGTTAGGCGGTCCTCCTGGAAGCTCGTCTGGGAACACGTCCACAAACTCACGAACAATTGGAACATCGTGAGGTGATCGTGCTTTCTGAGAATCATCGACAAGGCCCACCAGATAACCCTGGCAGTTGCCTCGTCGCAGCAACTTAGTGGCTTTCGCCATTGAAACAACATGAGGCAATGAACGATTCCTGGAGCCAAAGAAAGTGATCGAATCGTCTCCCAGAAGATAAAGAGTAATCTCCCGGTCATGGCATCTGATATCTGCATGATAAAAGGATAGCCAATCCATTCCGAGAATAAGGTCGAAGTCCCTCATCTCGAGAACAAACGCGTCGGTAGACAATACTCGGCAACCGATGGAAAGGCTAAGATCTGAAGCTTTAGCTGAAGTCACTATCTTTCGTCCCGAGGCTAAACTCACCTCGAGAGGATCAACAGCGGTAACGACATGAACTCTGATGGCATCAAGACATCGTCGTGAAATGAAAGAATGTGTCGCTCCAGTATCGAACAAAGCAAACACAGGAACATTATTAAGCATAACCATCCCTGACATAGTACCTGGCTGCTGCTCGGCCTCTGCCTGGTCGACTGCGTAAACTCGGGCCTGTTGTCTGCCCCTCTGCTACTGCTGCTGAGGCGACCTCTGAGCCTGCTGATGGGGCTGCTGCTGCTGCGGTGGCTGTTGAGGCTGCTGAGGCTACTGAGGCTGCTGTGCCTTCTTCGGACAACGATTAGTAAAGTGTCCGGGCTCATGACAATAGTAGCACACATCCTGACCAAAGCGACACTCGCCTCGGTGAAGTCGTCCGCATGTCGGGCACTGTGGAATCTGCTGCTGCCTCCTGCGAGTCCTCCTATCAGTCTGTGCGCCCTTCCCCTTCCTCTTGTTGTTCTTCGGTGGCTGGGCAACTGGTAGGGCTGGTGGCAACAGTGGAGCTGAAGATGACTGAGCAGGGGAGGATGGCTGAGACTGGTCACGGACGGCCTCGCTCCCGATACTGGCGTCCACCTCCTGGGCAATAGCAACTGCACGAGCATACGTCTGAGTCTCGTGGCCAACGGTTTTGTGACGGACTGCTGGGTAAAGCCCGTCAATGAAGCGTTGTGCCCTCTGAGCCTCCGTACGAACCAGGTCCGGAACAAAACCTGCAAGTCTGGTGAACTCCCTCTCGTACTCGTCAACTGAACGGGTACCCTGCTGGAGCGATAAGAACTGACGCTCCATCTCTGCTCTGTAGTAACTGGGGTAGTACTTCTCGCGGATCAGCTCCTTGAGCCTATCCCATGTACAACCCTCCTTTTCTCCGGGAAGCATGCTCCAATAGGCATTCCACCAGAGTCGGGCATCACCAGTTAGCTGAAGCTGAGCGCAAACTACGCGATATCTGTCTGGACAATCCATGACCTCGAAGATAAACTCAAGGCCCTGAATCCAATCGTCCACGATACGGGGATCTCCCTGCCCGAAAAATTTCTCGGCATGATAATCGCGAAACTGTGCGATTACTGTGGCCTGAGTAGGAGCCGAGTGATCGGGTTCCCTACGGGGCGGCATCTGAACATTGAGAAAGTTCAAAATTATTGAACACGTGATAATATTCTGACTGATTACTAAGGCACACAAATCTCTTGACGAGTTGCCAAAAGTGGCCGATAAATACTGACATGAATCCGGAGAAACTCTAGAGTCATATCGGAAGATACTACATTCTAGAGTCATATCTGAATATTTTGAATTCTAAAGTCATATCTGAACTCTAAAGTCTGAAACTGATTCGAGCATCTTAACTAAGTCTGATTAATAATTCTGAGCATAGACAAAGTAATATGTTTATAACTGAAAACTGAATCAGCACTTACCTGTAGTCGGCGAGGCGTGAGCGTGACGGTTCAAGTTTTTTTTTTTCTGAAAATTACTGACTTAAAAACTTTTCAGAGACACAGAAACGTGCTCTGATACCAATTGTAACACCCCGACTTTCTAACTGAAATCAGAGTACGCGCTTTTCGCAAAATTTCTGAATAAATAAATAAAATACTTATTTTGCAAAAACTGATTCGGAGTGCTACTGTGAAAAACTTGACTTTTCTGAAAACCGCTAAACTTTAAACTGATAATGAAAATGGTTTAAATATAATAACCGACTGAAGTCGGATCAAAAACTGAATTTAAGTACTGAAAGTTTAGCAGAATAAAAGCGTGGCCAAAACATAATATATACATATCCACAAATATCCTGAACTGCCCGCCAGCTCACTCCTCGTCCCCGACTCTGCGACCTGAAAAACATGAAATATGTGGGGGCGTGAGCACTAAGGCACTGTGCTCCGCAGAAACTCAAACTAAGTAAAATAGTGAATATAATAACAATATCATGATCCTGGCATATATAACTGAACTGAAACTGAAACTGAACTGATATCTGATACCGGTCTGATCTCGCGACATAAGTCACGTAATTGATAACTGAACATCTGCCGGCAAAACTAATACTGGACACCATGTGCACACTCTAGTAGGCAGATTAAGGCCACTAGAACCCAGAATGGACCGGCGACCATTCCGAGCGGATACTGAACTGATAATACATACCTCAAACATGGTAGCGTAATTATAAACAATGTTGTACTTAGTCTGAGTCTCCAAATGAACTGCTGAACTGAATGTAGTGCTGATGCCTGATCAAACTGAAATATAATATAAACAATTACTATTGACTATGCTCAGACTAATAAATTAACTGATTAATTATGTTAAGATGCTCTACTGAACCTGACATGATATTCAGACTTAATCGGTATAACTGAAACCGGTTAAGTACGAAACTGATATTATTTAACTGAACTGAACTGTACCCAGAATTTTAACAGAAATTAATACTAAAATCATGAACCGGGACTGAGACTGAAAAATGCTGACTGAACCGGTCCAGCCGGTCTGAACCGGTCTGGACCAGACTGCCGGTCGGCTGAATCGGGCAGTCGGTTACTGGCTCGGCCAGCGGCCTGCCAAGTGCTGCGCTCACGGGCGCTGCCTGGCAGCTGCGGGCGCTGGCTAGCTGGTTGGCTAGCTGACTGGTCGTGCGGACACTGGCTGGGCGTCCCTGGCACGGCTGTGCACGCTGGGTACGTGCGGCC